AATGTGTCAAGTTTAATTATGCAAGTGAAAGTTGAAAAGACAGGTGAAAAGAAGGACGAAAAATTAATAAGATCATATGAATCAGGTAACGTAGGAAGAGAACTGAAAAAGGAGGATGTGTGGATGAAGCCCAAGTCTGCTGCCTGAAGCTGGGTAATTCGCACTGAATACTTCTTCATTTGCAAAAGATAGAAGTCTATAGTTCAGTCGTAATAGCAAAGTGTGATTGGATAAATGTGCGCTAGTGAAATTTCACAAATATATGGCGATATTAAGAGTGTCGTACTATGGTGATCTTTGTTAGATAGATGGCTGTATGTACACCATTAAAGTGGGCCACCATACTGCGAGTAGATTTTGTGCAAGGAAATATGGAGATTTACGAAGCGCCGGTCCAACTTTTAAGAATGCATTAAGCTTACAGTAGTTAAGCGTTGGTTCAACTGACAAGTGTTTTTATTAAGTAAGCCAAGGTTTACTAATCTCCGCTTAATTCCGTTTCTGTTACACATAGATCAATATATTGGAGTTAAATGCAAGTCTCTTGTGGAAGTAACAAAATAAGTGGAAAACTACTACTGCTTATCTTAAAAAGAAAAAAAAAATTGTAGCTTGTTCAGTATAATACATCCATCTTTGTCTTTGGCTCTAAGCATATGATAACTTTTATTAGCCCTAACGGGCAACCCAAAAATCCCTCATGTTTCTTAGCTATCGAATCAAATCAAATAGCCAAAAAAGAAAAGCCTCAGTAACACACACACACACAAATCGAGTTGCATCACATCGCTTTCAAAAAGAAAATAAAACCTTTAAATTGTATTTGTTTTATTTGCATACATGCATATATTAAGTTGTGTTTGGATTGCATTTTTCGTCATTTTTCATGAAAAAATTACTGTAGCGATTTGATATATGTGAGGGAAAAAGGTGATAGGAAAATGTGATTGCGGAAAACGATAATATTTTCCGACGGAAACAAGCAATCCATGAAAAAATTACTGTAGCGATTTGATATATGTAAGGGAAAAAGGTGATAGAAAAATGTGATTACGGAAAATGATAATATTTTCCGACGAAAACAAGCAATTCAAGCAGAGTCACAAGTCAAACTATTTAATTTATCAAGAAATAAAAAAACAAAAAAGACACTGTGTAGCTGTAGAATCCTAGGCAAGAATATTCAAACATGCACATAAATGTCCCATAAGTAATTCCAACCATGTCCAGCTTTTTTGCACATCATTGACTTGCACAAAAACGAAAAAGACAAGTCATTCAAGAAAGTAAAGTTTAGTTTTTTGTGGTAGGAAAATGTTTGAATGTGTTCTGTTTCGATCATCATCATGGATTAAAGAATGCTTTCGCGACCCATAGATCGTTTAGATCGTATATTTTTAACAATTGAATCAACCAGTGTTCAACTGAAAGTTTGTTTAAGATGGTCAAAGAAGCAACTAGAGCCTAAAGCTCCTGCCAAAGTTTTTGACGTCTTTCACATAAGACAAATTCGCGCCTGCCAAATGCCAGTCCGTCAAACTGGATGGTCCGGGTCCATTCAACCATGGCCTTTTAAAGCGGGTACGAATCTGGAAAATGGAACGCAAATTTTGCTGGACTTTTTGGACAAGAAAAGACAATATATAGTTAACAGAATAGTACAGAATTTTGATTTACTAAAAAAAAAAAAACCATATTGATTTAACCTCATCTTTTTTTGGACATTTTGACATAATTTCTTCCATGGGGCATATGATCGGGTCTGGACACCTGATTGAGTATTTGGGTCAGTTTGAACTCCACAATTCTTCAAATAAATATATCCGAAAAAGGTAAAGATGAATCCAACATAAAGTTGACCCCTTCAAACATAACGGTAGATTTATATATACATTTTTTTTTGTACCTTTATTTGACAATCAAGTCAAGTTCACAGGTATTTTTCTCTTCTATGGCGTGTGAATTTTTTGACCAGTCTTACAACTTAAGGTAAATTGCAATGGCTACCCCTGAGTTTTTGGATAAATGGTGATAGCACTTGCGGATTTTTTTAAAATTACTTTTGGCAAGCTGACATTCTATAGTAGCTATGCTCAAATTTAAATGGACACAAGTAGAGCTCTAGAAAAACCCATGAAAGTTATGTAATTAAGCTATAACTCAAGGAAATTAAGTTAAATTAATATAGTACCTTACAAACTTGAATATGTCAGCAGCTTCAAAAGAATAATATACAAATACGATGAGGGAGGGTATGTATGTATACATTGCAATGGTCCCACTTTTCCTCAAATATAAGACTTTCAGTTTGGACTTCATGGCTAGGTGAAAGAAACAGAAGAAGGGAGAAGATGGCCATCCCTAGGCAAGCCATGGAAATAGATTCTGGAGAAAAGCGTCTCAATGAGCTTGGATACAAGCAAGAGCTCAAGAGAGAAATGGTACTCCTAGCTTGCTTATTAACAGCTTTTTTTTAAAAATTTCTGGAATTTTTTAAAAATGAAGTTATATTTTGAGGTGATCAATTGATGACAGTTAATTGTTTTCATGAATTCCTGATGCCTGTTTTTATGGGTTTTTTTTTTTGGACAGAGCCTTTTCAAGACAATGGCAATAACATTCTCTTGCATGGCAGTTTTCACTGGTACACCCTTGTATGGTCAAAGTTTGCTATACGCTGGTCCTGCTCCCTTGTTATGGGGATGGGTGGTTGTCTCCTTCTTCACCTGGTTTGTTGGACTTGCTATGTCTGAAATTTGCTCTTCTTTTCCGGTATGCTTCTTCTTCCTTCTCCTTCCCCTAGTTCTTGGCACTAAATCAAAAATAATAAAATATAAACTTTTTATGACATCCCAAATTTTTCATTAGCTGCGGCCTGTTTCATCCAACAATATAACATACTATTCTTCTTTTTTTTTTTTTTTTTTTCCCAATTGGAAATTCCAATCCATAGACCACTGGCTCGCTCTACTTCTGGGCTGCACATCTGGCCGGACCACGCTGGGGGCCATTTGCATCATGGTGCTGTGCTTGGCTCGAGACTATTGGTCTTGTTTCTGGCATAGGTGCTCAGGTGCTACTCCATTCTTTAGATACCATCATGTTGCTGAACAAAATTAAATAAATTGGACGTTTTCTTTGAGCAAATAATTGGACATTTGTTTTCTGAAAAGGGATAATCAACAAATTATTGTTGCAACATTTGAATGTTAGTCTTCATTCCACCGTGTACGGATCAACATGTAATACTCTTGCTTCCTAATTTGTTAGTATTGATCTGTGATCTGATCAAAGCCATTATTGGTTAGTTGTAATCTTGTCAAGAAAAAAAGAAATGGTCCATTGCTAATAAACCAAATTATGTACTAAATCTATGTATTCGTGCACGAATTTTGTTCATGGGCAGGCATATTCTGGAGCACAAGCATTGCAAATAATCATTCTTTTGTCCAGTGGAACAAACAAGGGTGGAGGATACTTTGCTCCTAAAAGTGTATTCCTGGGCATATATGTATTCTTCATCCTCGTATGGGCAGTACTCAATTCCTTTGCTCTCAAAGTAATTGCCTACCTCAACATAATCTCTATTTGGTGGCAGGTACACGGTTCTTGTCTAACAATAAAGCTATTAGTATTACTCTTGTTATTATTATACTCAAGAACTGTAGCCCTCCAGAATTTATCCAACATTATGGCATATTGTAAGGATTGTCACAATGATTTATTGACTTCAAGAATCCACATTGCAGCTTAAAAATGAAAAATTTTCAAGTACTAATTACTTACCTATTAGTCAAAATAAAATCAACCATGTAACGGACTAATTAGGTATACAGACCTGGCTAGATCAAAAAGGTGCTCTGACACCACCTTTAAATTTTTTTTTTCACTACAGGTGAGATTTGAACCCCTGACCTGTAGCCCAAAGAGGGACTTAAATCCCTTTTTGGTGGCCATTGAGCGAAAGCTCAGTGGTTCAGTCTGGTTTAATTACATGACGAAATGTAATTGATCATCCCAAATTTATCTCACTTCATTTGCATTCATAAGCTAAAAAGTTCAAGAACATAAAGCGCAACTACATTCATTATTTGTGAGAAATAGAACCACACTAGCTTATAATAGATGAGCAAACCACCAAAAGTGCTCGAAACCGTGGAGACAGAAAGTGAAATTAACCACGGATTTCCGTAAAAGAAGTGAGAATAACAAGATTTTAATGGTTGACAAAGAAAAAGAAAATTGAATACTCAAGAATTTGTCACAATTAGCTAGTGAGTGTTTATGCTTCTTGTAATATGCAGGTGATTGGTGGTTTAGTGGTGATTATAATGCTTCCTCTAGTGGCACAGACAAGACAACCAGCATCTTATGTGTTTTCTCATTTTGAGTTGTCATCTGATTCAACTGGAATAGGTAGTGCGCCCTATGCAGTTATAATGGCTGTGCTTCTGAGCCATTATTGTTTATATGGCTATGATGCTGCTGCTCACTTGACTGAAGAAACAAAAGGAGCTGATCGAACTGGACCTTTTGCCATTCTTTCTTGCATTGGTATCATTACAGTTTTTGGTTGGGCATATAATGTTGCTCTTACCTTCAGCATCCAGGTACTCAAATAGTAGCTGAAAATGATCAGAATTTGCTTTTATTAAATCTTCATAAATTTGGTGATACATGAGACTGAAATTCTCAATCTCTATCTCTATTTCTATATTTTTCTTTTCAGGATTTTTCTTACCTATATGATCCAAAAAATGAGACTGCTGGAGCACTGGTACCAGCCCAGATAATTTATGATGCATTCCATGGAAGATATCACAATGTTACTGGTGCAATAGTGTTTCTCTGGATTATATGGGGTTCTTTCTTCTTCTGTGGCCTCTCAGTGACAACTAGTGCTGCAAGAGTTGTCAGTATCTTCCATCTATTCTCCTAATTCCACTAAATCTTTTACTATGGCTTGCCTGCATGTTCATTTAAATGCGCACAGCAATTCAAAACAATCTACTCAATAGTGTTTAGGCTAAGCTCATGCACCTGATTTTCTTAGTACAAGTCAGAACCATTTTCAATCCTCGAGTCTACGTCTAGGTTGTAGTAAAAGACATAAACCATAGCAAAGAATCCAAAGATATGGCAAAAACTGCACATACAGGCAAACATCTAAAACCGATGGTGTAAATGAAAACTGTCATCAATCCTCGTAATAAGGATGCAGATGTTTCCCTAACACCAGAGGCTCTTTTTTATACCAGTTTGACATACATTTGCACGTCATTTCCAATATCTTGATGTACAGTTGCTTCTTTGGCCCTAGATATATGCGCTTTCAAGGGATGAAGGAATTCCATTTTCACGAGTTTGGGTAAAACTCCACCCGCAGCATAAGGTTCCAGTAAATGCGGTGTGGCTTTCTGCAGCCATAGCTATCCTTCTTGGACTCCCCATCCTCAAGCTTAACGTCATCTTCAGCGCTATAATTTCCATTAGCACGGTTGGCTGGGTGGGTAGTTATGCTGTCCCCATCTTCGCAAGATTGGTAATGGCTGAGGAGAAATTCAAACCAGGACCCTTCTATATGGGCAGAGCAGGAAAGGTGGTGTACTTGGTAGCCTTCTTGTGGATATGCTACACCTGCTCAGTCTTCCTATTGCCAACTCTCTATCCCATTACATGGAGTACTTTCAACTATGCTCCCGCTGCTCTCTTTGTAGCCTTGACATTGATAATGCTGTGGTGGGCTTTGGACGCCAGGAAATGGTTCAAGGGACCTGTAAGAAACATTGACAAGCAGAATGGAGATGTTTAGAGTTTACATTATTATGTTATTTTTTGAATTCTTCTCATTGGCAGAAGGCAGTAGAGTAAAGTTCAAGTAAATTTTTTTACCTCCTGAAAGATATATTGTTATTCATGAAAGGAATCTAATGCATAGAAAAAAGAGATAACTTAATGTTAATTTCATTGCAAAAGGTAATGTAGTCAAGCCCCCAAAGTTCCACGCTTCGTTCAGTAAAGGTTCTGTTCACCTTAAAGCTGGATAACATTTTATCAATTAGGATTAGAATATTGTCAGATAATAACAGTGGACGGCAAAGGAAGAATTTTAAGCCTCAGGAGAGAATATAAACGGGAAAATCACCCCCATATCCCAGGTGCTCCACGTTTTAGTGTAGCAGTCATAACATAGCCACAGAGACCTTTATAAACCACAACGGAGCAGATAGTTATTTAACCATAACAGAGGCTGCCATGTAGCTCAATCCATCTCTCAAACAGGAAGCGGCTCTGAGGGCTTTTTGTTCTTTTCCGAAAGGAAGCAAACCAAAGTGGAGGTAAAGAGATTCACATAGTTCAGGCAATTAGATGCTGACAAACCATTTGACACGTGACAAAAAACATCATTAAAGTAACCCACCAAACATCCCAGCTTTAAAGATATCCATTTTTCATTACTTAAGTGAAATTATAAGATGGTTATACGTCGCCCATAAAGAAAAGCTATTTCAACAGAAAGAAAGCAATTGATTATCTGATGCAGTTCAATCCTAAATGTTGGCAATTGAAGAAATCTAACATGAAACCAAGTTTTTAAACTATGTCATAATCCATCTCGACTCCCAGAAATGTGACACCAATCAGATTTCGGTCATCCCAGGCATCAGTCTGAGAAGATGAAAAACAAAACCAGTGCCTTTCTGGAATCATTTATCCACTTCTCAAATTGAAGTAACAATTGGAGACACAAGAAGTTGAAACCAAGACCCAAACAAAGCAAGAGGAAGCATACAGAGAGTGAAAAAAATACCAGCAACAATATTGTTTACCTATACAAGTTGTATAGCATTTATAAACAACTATGAAAAAGAAGGCAATTTAAATAAGGAAATGAGGGAAAATTAACCTGTCAAATCAGTAAGATTGACATCTTTTAATTTATACATATAATTCTTCGGACTCCATTGGAGATGACCAGTAATGTATGAGTGACTCTACAGTTAACCTTCTTGTAGCACTGAGCATCGAAATGAAGAATCGACAACCATCAATTTTGTACTCTTCAAGTGGATTTCTGTGCCCAAAACTCCGGACATTCACCTGCAAGCAAGGCAACTAATAAGAGCATTGTCTGAAGGAAACAAAAAAAAAATGTCAAATCAACAGGAAAGTAGCTTACCGCTGAACTGAGCCTATTCATGTTTACAAGATGATCCCTCCAGAAACAATCTAAAGTTTTAACAAGAACTGCCCTCTGTAAACCAGGAAATAAGTACCATTGATTTCAAAGGAGCAATAACAAAGATCAAAAGTCATTCCAAAATATTAACAGTCGGAAGAGTTCATAAAAATCACTTTTCTTTATTCAGATTGTGGTACAGAATCATGAATGGAGCAGCATAGCCTAATTTTCTCTTTAAAAGTCCATGAGTTCACGAATGGATATTGCATATCACAATGAATTGGGTCAGATCAAGATTTTAGCTCCTCAGGACTCAAAAATTTCGACAACTTCCTCTAATCCATATTATCGATTTTCAGTCATGAATTAACTAAGCCAGGACACATTCTAATTGGTTGATTTTGCGAACAAGATTTCTCATAGAAAACAGGATTTCAATTTTGTTTGCAATGTGTAAAATAATGAGATTACCTCTATTTCCTTAATGTACATAGCATCATAACCAGATGCTTGAATGACTTTCAAGTATGAAGCAATCATGAAATCTCCAAGGTACTTGCGAAGAAGATTTGCAGTCGCCCGATACTTCCCATCTCTGGTCATTATACATACATAATAGTAGTAATGATTACGTTCCATCCAAAAATTGAGGTCTTAAAAACTTAAATACAAAGAGGCATTAAGATTTACGGTGTTGAATCATCAGTGCATATAGCAAGCCAACGTCTCAATGAAGAGCTCTTTGCACGGATTCCCCTAAAAGAATTAGGAGGTTTGGGCAGATTTGGAAGGTGAAAGTCATTGATATTCACAGAATTCAATTCATGAAGTTGAGAGAGTGATTTCCCAAAACTTTCTTCCGTAATCCCTGCAAAACAGTCTACAATGTTCCCAAGCAAATGGAGAATCAGTTCATGAGTAACTGGCACCATATCTAATTCGACAAATAATTTGAAAATTATGAAAGTACCATTCAATAACTCCTCTGCTATGTCATTATACTCCTTTAAAAGCTTACCCAAAGACCAGCAGCTTGGGTGCTACAAAATTCACAAGCAAAGAGGAGATGCATAAACAAATAAATAGACAAATTGACTCGTAACATTATCAATTATAAAGAAAATAGTGGATCTCAGATATTTTACTACCTTAAGAGGATTAACATTTTTAAAGACAATTTCATCCACCACTGCTTGCATGTATCTGGTAGACACATTGTCATTAGAAAAGAAACACAGCAGACAACCAGTTGATCAACATCAGACAAACCAAATTTAAAAAAGCAAGTGACCTTGTAATGGAAAACTAACATTCCAACCTAAATCAGGAACCAATTATAACTCAAATCTACAGAACGCATGCAGCTAACCATTTCCGAAGGTCCAAACCCAAATTTAATCTTTAACTTCAAATCCTGAATATCTTAGAAACTGCAGCATTCATACATTTAACTGAATCTCTGTCCGGTCACTCATGCTTAGCTACTACAGAGAAATTAGTAAAGGATTGTTTCTCATCAATGTAAAAAAATAATAAAAATAAGAAAAATAAAAAAGCGAAAAGTGAAAAATATAAGACATACTCTTCTGTAGTTCAAGTCCATAGAGCAGATCTTAGGTTACAGGCTTTCAAGTGCCAAGATACAGTGTTTTCTTATCAATTTCATTTTCCTAGATTTGTCTCTACGATCACTTCTGGATGGACTTTGCTTGTGTTCATTTGCGTATCCAATTTCATAGCACCAATCCAGAAACTTCAGCTTAAAAGCATACATTGACCAGCAAAAGTGTGAAGCAAACCCAACCTGATAGACTTAAATCATTCCATCATGACTGACTGACATTGTCTATGTAGTCAACTGGGAATTCAAATGAGCAAAACCAAAATCAATAAACCAATAGCAAAATGGCCTCCATTGGAAACATCTAGCTTTAGGCATCTCTGTTGCCGCAATATCCTATTGGAGCTCTAACTTACAATATTGGGATCTATAAGCAAAAACCTAGATCATGATATGAAATTTTAGTGTGATATATAACAGGACAAACTGCATTCTATAAGCTAACATGATTAATTATTCGACAATGATATCATTCCAAAGCCCCTTTTTTAAATTAACTTAAAATCATTGCCTGTCCAGCGTAGAGAAAATTATTAGCTGCAAATTAGAAAAGACACCACTACCACCCTTGCTATTCTTGAAAACTCATGGCTTTAAAACAGTTTGCCCCTATCATTAGCTTAGTGGTCCCTGCTTCTGATGTTTTAGTCATCCTTCACTGGCTCCATTGATTATCTGTGCTGCAATGAAAAATCAAAAAGTTTGTAGACTCTTTTACAGCCACGTAACCTATAATAATTATGCCCACCGAGATTTCTTTTTCATATGATTTTCTTCTTTTAGCATCAGAACGAGCCCTGGCAAGAACGTAAATGTGGAAAGCACTAAGATAAGTTCCATAAAGCTTATGATAGTGAGGCACAAACTGGAAAATGTGCTGTGAGGTACTTTCTGAATTGCCTGTCAAGATTGATTGCCGAAGATCATAGACGTGCTTCCTTTGCACCTGTCAAAAAGATAATGCCATTCTTGATTAATTGTTTGTAGATCATTCAACTCTAATTCTCAGAAAATTTGCTTTCTGGGAAAGTTGGAATATGTCACTTATTGCAACCATGCATTTATGGAAAAAATAAGCTTAAAACACTTAAGTTGAAAGCGGTACCAAAACATCACTATTAAGCTCAGATGCTTACCTCTAAAACTTCATCAAACTCGACAAGGCTCTTTCTTATGCCAAAGAAAAACTTCTCAGCATTAATTTGTAGTGCCAAAAGCTGGAGACAATGATTAAACTTCAGATGAGACAGAAAACAATCTATAATATTTATTTAATGTTCTTATATCTACAGAAAAGACAGAAAGCTGGAAAATTTCTATTATTTGTATGCATATTCATGTGGATATATATATCTGTGCGTGCGTGTGTGTGTGTGTGTCTATTGATGTGTATACGCATACACAGAAAAGCACAGATAAATGGGCAAGAATAAAGTATACCTGCTTAACAATTGTGTCACCTTCAATAGGGATATCCTCATCATTTGTAATCCTAGAGATAAGTCTCACTGCCCATTCTGTGTCAAAGTTGAACTTCTTAAACATTTCATCCTGCAAG